CCTGTTGTGGCCCTGGCTCACTGGAGAGCGTTTTCTCATGAGAATGAACCTCTTACCTGCATAGGGAGATTGGACTGTGAAGAATTTTAAGCTGTGCATTGTGCATTTTCTGGTCATCATAAAGGGGGAAATACACACACACACACACACACACACACACACACACACACACACACACACACACACACACACACACACACACCACAGGAGCAGGGTGCCAGTGGTTCATGACTATAATCCTAGCTACTCAGGAGGCTGAGATCTGAGGATCATGGTTCAAAACCAGCCTAGGTAGTAAAGTCTGTGAGACTCTTACCTCCACTAAACTACCAAAAAAATCTCAGAAGTAGAGCTGTGGTTTAAGTGGTAGCGTTGGCCATGAGCAAAAGAAGCTCAGGGACAGAGCCCAGGCCCTTAGTTCTAGCCCCAGGACTGGCACAAAACAACAATGTAGGAAGACATGAGTTGAAGACTGATATCACAACTGCCCCTCCTCCTTGGCCTCACCCACTCTGCCCTCCTGGGGGATGGGGAGGGGTCTCTCTGGAGGGAGTTCCTCCTGAAAAGGCTATGTGTGCATTGTGGGAGGACCAGGGGTTGCTCCAGGGGGCCTTTCTTCCAGTGCAAAGTATGAACAATTCCTCTTTTCTTCGTCAGGTTATGCCAGAAAGAATGGAACAAGGAATTCTGTTAGCAGATTATTAAAACAAAACAAAACAAAAAAAAACAATGCCACCAAATCTGGCTTCTACCAATCAGAGGGGAGAAGGGAGTCCAGTTTATTAAAGAACTAACTAGACCTTATAAGCTGCTTTATGTGCATCCTCTTAGCTTCCTCGACCCAGTCAGACCCACATCTATCAGCAGTCACCGTGGGCTGGGCTTTGGTTTGGATGATGGCATATGTGAAGTATATTCTGGCTACTGGACCCCGAATCCCTGGGGTCAGTGACACACTCGCGCTCGGTTCTCTGTGTACGTTACCAATGTAATCGGAGAGGTTGACCTTCCGAGCTCGGATCAGCAAGCCTTCTTCCACCAGCTCCTTGTACAGAGACTCGATGGTCCTGGGGAGGAAGCACAGGCCCGTAACATCACCTGCTCCTCAGCTCGCATGTCCCACATCCACTGAACGCATGTGTGCATGATGCAAATAAATAGGTTTGGGGAGTGTTTCCACAAGTGAGGGATGAGTTAGGATTTAAAAAAATCTATACATTCATTTGACATGAGCATATTCTATGTTTTCCACAAATAAGAATGATACCTGGGGGAATCTGATAACATGTATGAGTCTACCAGTCTGTGGCATGGCACAAACATGAATTAGACATTACCAGTCATAGTAACGCAACTGGCCTATAATTGTGTACTTGGCATCTGCAAGCTGTAGGTTATTAATCCTTGGTAAAATTTATTTTTCCTTTTAATTCAATAGTATAATGACTCAAAAGAATTATGGACAAGGGACAAAGGCTTATACTGGAGGTAATTTGTGTGTGTGTGTGTGTGTGTTTGTGTGTGTATGTGTGTGTATACTGGGGCTTGAACTCACGTTCACAAATGGCTTTTTCCCCCTCAAAGCTGGCACTCTACCACTTGAGCCACACCTCCAATTCTTTTTTTTTTTTTAGAAACAGATGCATTTTCATATAATTTCTGATTCCACCCCACCCTTTAAAAAGAATCCAGGAAATTATAATGCTAACATATATATATATATATATATTTATATCAGCATTCATTTGAATGCTTAATTGCTTGAAGCCTCATTCAAGCCTTCATTCTTGGAGGTCCTGATATAGCTAGCATGTGACTGGATGTTAAGGAAGGAAGGAACAGTAAATGTTATGAAATCATTCATATGAAATCATTATGAATCATTCACCTTTAAATACCAGTTGGCTAAATTATTTACCAAAGATATTCACTTGACATATTTGATTTTTTTGCTTTTTTAGCATATATTTTTACTGTAAAAATGCTGTACAGGGCTGGGAAGGTGGCTCAGTGGTAGAGTGCTTGCCTTGCATGCTCGAGGCCCTGGGTTCGATTCCTCAGCACCACATAAGCAAAAAGAAAAAAAAAGCCAGAAGTGGCGCTGTGGCTCAAGTGGTAGAGCACTAGCCTTGAGCTGAAGAGCTGAGGGACAGTGCCCAGGCCCAGAGTTCAGGCCCCACGACCGGACCCAAAAAAAAAATGCTGTACAGAGGGGCTACAGTTACATCAGTTATACGAGTAAGGTAATGAGTACATTTCCCATCGAGCATTGTTACCTCCTCCTTTGTTTTTCCCCAGCTTCCCTTCCCTTCCCACCTCCCCAACTCCTTCCTACCCCACCTCCAAAGTTGTAAAGTTCATATTCAACGTAGTGTCTTGTACATCTCATTATTACAATGGGTCAACCTATACCCTTGTTTCAGCATTTTGTTATTTTCCTTCCCCTCCCCAAATCAGAAAAATGTGTATACAAGATGCAGGGCACCAGAATCAAATACAGTGAAAATGGGTTGTACTATGGGGGAAGAACATATAAAAGAAACAAAAAAATCATATGGTACATTATAAATACATTAAAAACAATAGCAAGAAAGATAAAACCTCTTGTGTCCCTATCTTGGGCTTCATTTCACTTAGCATCATCCTATATGGTCATATGTACATAGCTTTTGAGCTTTTCTGTTCCTCCTAGACATATACTAGTTATTGCAGATAAGGGAAACCATGGGACCTATGTTTCTTTGGGCCTGCCTTACTTCACTTAACATAATTTTTTCTAAGTCTTTCCATTTCCTAACAAGTACGGCAATGTCATTCTTTCTGATGGAGGCATAGAATTTATATATATATATATATATATATATATATCACATTTTCTTGATCCATTCATCTACTGAGGGACATCTGGTTTGCACACCTCCAGTTCTGTGGATTTTTTTCCTGGTTAATTGGAGAAGAGTCTCACCAACTTTTCTGCCCCAGCTGGCATCAAACATGATTCTCAGATCTCATTCTCCTGAGTAGCTAGGATTACAGGCTTGAGCTATTTTGCCCAGCTGGAGGTGATTCTAATAAGAAAGCTAAAATGTCTAAAGCTGTGTGTGTAAGTGTTGATGAACAATGCATATGAGCAGTGTGTATGCTCTTCTGTATTGTTTTAACATACCCAAACCACTTCTTAAAGGGAGCTTGGGCACAGAGCCAGCATGCTCGTGAGTCACACCACCTGCAACAGGGGATGTGGAATCTGCAGAGTAGATGAGATTCCCACCGGGGAAAAATGGGGTTCGGTTTTCAGGGATTCAGAGAGTGGAGCTCAAATGTTACCCATTGTGCTCCTTTCAAATGTTTTGCCTCCTGCTTTTCTTGATTCTTCTTTCCTAACTTTGTCTTCCTTTAGCTTATGAATTATAAAGAGAACTAACTTGAAATAGTTGAATGATCTCATTTGATTGAGAGAGTCTCAAGAATGTCAGTTAGACTCCAGCCAAATACTAAAGGGATGAACGTTAATCCACTCATTGCAGTCCTTGGTTTTCTGGAATTCTATTCCATCATATATATTTAGCATAGTATACCCCAACTGAAAATGAAGGAAGATTTAATCATAGTGGAATTTGAGATGACAGCATCTGACCTCTATCAAGGAAATACCAACCGAATTGTTTACGCTCAAATACTTACTAAATGTACAACATACAGCATAGACAACCTATTCACATACATTTAAAGATAATTCTCTAAAATAATCAAAACATTTCAGGAGCCAACCCCAAATATATATTTTTGTCCTAGTGAAATGAATTTTTTTTTTGTTGTGGAATAAAACATTCCCAACTTTAAAAGAAACTTAAACTATGGTAAAGCAGTTCTTCAGGTGGACAGGGGAAGCAGAGGCTGCTTTACGGTACTGGGGCCTGGGTGCCCGTGTCTAGAGACATGGTGTCTTTACAAAAAACCGGAACGTCGTTTGGGAACATGGATCCAGCTCTTTCTGAAATGAACAAGCAGCACTGGTCTCTGTCCCTCTCGGCAGAGAACTGTCCCAGCTTGGCTGCTGTAGCCCAGCTCTCAGGAAGCCTGGGCCAGACAGACACCAGCGTCCAGCGGTTGGTGCTTGTCCGTGAAGGAATAATTTTAACGTAGTGATAGGGTTACATTGGCAGATGTGAAGTTTAGTCCTTGGTTTGCTATTTTTGCCCTCTGCTTTGAGACTAATACTTGAACAGAGGACAGAAGTGGACTTCAGAGCTACAAAGACACACCTGTGGCACTGTGTGTGTCCCTGTGGAAGGGAAGGAAGGGCTCGGGTCCCCTGTTGTCCAGGAGCATTGGTGCTAATACACAGAGAGATAACTGTCTTCCTATGAATGAGGGAGCCCAAGTCTCAAAATGGTGCCGAGGCCCATTTTAGGTAGAACCAGCCGTAGCATGTTGACCCCTTCTCCAAGCAGTGGGGACTTGAGTGGGAGCCTGTGGTCCCAGTCCATGGACATCCTAGAAGAACCTCTTCTCTGTACAGCTGAGATCCATGCCCCTGACTGCCCCGGGGCCCTGAGCCCATGCCAGCTCTGCCTCCGTGTCTGGGCCTGGAGCCCTCAAGGCAGGCTTCCTCTTCCAGAAGTCTGGGAAAGAACAAACTTCCAGAACAGGAACAGAGGGGCAGCCGATGTCCATTTGTGAGCAAAACCTATCACAAGAAAGGACCACTCGCCAATTCCATTTGTAACAGCCTCAAAAAAGAATACCCAGGAATTAACTTAACCAAAGAGGTGAAGGACCTCTATGATGAAAACTTTAAAATCCTGAAAAAGAAAATTAATGTGGAAAATCCTCCCACGCTCCTGGATTGGGAGGATTAACATCGTGAAAATGGCAATACTGCCAAAAACTACCCACAAATTCAACGTAATACCTATCAATATCCCAACTTCATTCTTTAATGAAACAAAAGAAGCAATCTAAACATTCATATGGAATAACAGAAGACCCCCCAAATAGTAAACAATCCTTAGCAGGAAAAACAGTGCTGGAGGAATATCAATACCAAATTTCAAACCTTATTATAAAGCCATAGATATAAAAACAGCTTGGTATTGGTCTGAGGACTAATGGAATAGAACTGAAGAGCCCAAAATGATCCCACAGACCTATAGCCAACTAATCTTTGATAAAGGAGCCCAAATCATCAGATGAAAGAAAGATGGCCTCTTCAACAAATGGTGCTGGCAGAATTGGCTATACATGTGTAGAAAACTGAAATTAGATCCTTATATACCATCCTGCACCAGAATCAATTCCAAGTGGATCAAAGACCTTGAGGTAAGAGCAGATACTCTGAAAATATTACAGGAAGGGACAGGGGATACACTAGGGCTCCTTGGCACGGGTCAAAACTTCCTAAACACATAAATCAAAGAAAGGTTTGGTAAATGGGATTGCATTAATCTGCAGAGCTTCTGCACGGCAAAGAACAAAGCTAGCAAGATCAATAGAAAGTCCACAGATTAGGAGAAGATCTTCACTAGCTATACACAGACAAGGGTCTCATTATCAAAGATATGCCTAGAGCTCAAAACATTAAACCTCCCAATAAAAAATCCTCAAAGAAACAATCACCCCATGAATAAGTGGGCTAAAGAATTCAAAGGAGACTTCTCTGGAGAGGAAATAAGAACGGTCAATAGACACATGAAGAAATGCTCAACATTGCTAGCCATAAAAGAAATGAAAATCAAAACAACATTGAGACTCTACCTCACCCCAGTGAGAATGGCCACCATCAAGAAAACAAATAACAGATACTGGCAGAGACAAGGCCAAAGGAGACCCTACTGCACTGTTGGTGGGAATATAAACTTGTTCAACCACTCTGGAAAGCAGGATGGAGGTTCCTCAAAAAACTATACACAGAGCTCCTCTGTGACCCAACAATCCCACTTCTGGGCATTTGCCCAAAGGATCATAAACAAGGCCACACTGAAACTATAAGCACAACTATTTTCACTGAAGCATTATTTACCATAGCTAAGATATGGAACCAACCCAGATGCCCCTCAGTAGATGAATGGTATAGATACATAGTGGAATTTGATGCTTCCATCAGAATGAATGGCATCACCCCATTTGTAAGGAAATGGAAAGACTTGGGAAAAAATCATATTAAGTGAAGTAAGCCAGACCCAAGAAACCCAAAGATCCAAAGAAACATAGGCCCCATGGTTTTCCTCATTTGTAATGATTAGTGTATGTCTAGGATAGTCCTAGCAGAGGATCACAATAGCTCAGCATATATATATATATCCATATAAAATGATGCTAATCAAAATGAACTCTAAGATAGGAAAATAAGAAGGTATTTATGTTTTTTATTTTTTTTAATGTAATGTGTGAAGTTATTTCTTTTTTCTTTCATTTTTCCCCCTTCGGTTTATTTACTATTGTCACTATTTTGGATTCTGATACCCTGTGTCTTGTATATGCATTTCATCGGAATTCGAGTAGGGCAGGGGAATCACAAAATGGTGAGACAAAGGACAAAGGGTGAACCAACCCAACAGCCATACAAGACACTTTGCTGGGGATGAACTTTACAACTTTGGGGGAACTGGGGGCGGGGAGAGGAAAAGTGGGAGAAAACGAGGGAGGGGTAGCATGATTCAACAAGAAATGCAACTGCAACCCTCTGTACGCCACCTTGACAATGAAGAAAAACATTTCGAAAGAGAAGGGCCACCCCGAGGCAGCACCCTTGCGTCAGGGACTTAAATCATATTCTGGATAATGTCTGAAAACCCAGACATTTACTTCCCATGTTTCGGCACTAAAGGGATATTTGAGCTTAAACATAAAATGAACACCAACAAACAAAAATGTGAGCCTTTGAAGTCTTCCATTTGCATGGGGCAGGACCACGGACACTCCAGAGTGGAGATGTCCATTTGGAGATGTCCTTGGCACTGACTCCCTTTACACGCAGGAGGAAGTGGAAGGGCCGGGGTGCCCAGGGACGTGGCTGGGGACACTGCTTTGCCTGTGATTTGAGCTCTCATTGGGATGTCGGTTCCCTAAACTATTTTTAATGAACCCGGTCCCTGATCTCTGCACAGATTTAACCTCCTCCCCCACCCACAAGCTCAGAGACTCAGATGTGACCGGTACCCAGGGCTGCTCTGGCTGGTCCTCTCGCTTCTTTCTGATGTAGGAAAGAGATATCTGAGCACCTTCCCCTGGCCGCCTCCCATCACCCCCACTCTCCCCGCCCCCCCCTCCCCCCCCACAGTTAAGGATGGAGGGAATGGCCCAACAGAGAGGAGAGCATCACAAGGAAACCCGTTTGCCACGCCTTACCTGTCGGCCGTCAGGTCTTTATCCTTCTTCCCCTTTTTCCCTCTTTTGACTTTGTCTTTCTTTTGTTGAAATAGAAATAACCAACAATTTAGTAAAAGCAAACAAACACATGAGCTCTAAAATCACCTCTACAGACTGTGCTTAGGGGGGAGCGGGGGAGCAGGAAGGCTAGTGTGGCACACTGAACCCCGACGGTCGTTCAGGGCCACTGTGGCTGCCCTGGCCTGCAGAACTTCCGAGCCTTTTCCTCAGGTCTTCTGACACAGGCCGGAGGCCGGGAATTAAGCTGTGCTTGTTCTTGGGACCTGCTGTGGGCTAATGCTTGTGTCTCCTCCCAAATGGCTCCCAAGGTGACGCAGTCTGGAAGTGGGGCCGCCGGAGGGTGATTACCCGGGAGGCCTGGGATCTCCCGACTGGGGATTAGCGCCTCGTGAAGAGGGCATAGGAGCACGTAAAGACTTTAAGGGAGCACCAGCGAAGCAGAGCAGCCCTCACCGCACACCGAATCTGACAATGCCTCCATCTTGGACCGCCCAGCCTCCAGACTGGTCAATTTCTACCCGCTATAAATTTCCTCCTCTAGGGACTTAGTTTTAGTACCACAAATGCACAAAGCAATCCCTGACCACCTCTCCATTAGCACCTGGTTCCTAATCAGGAGCCATTGGGGCAGGGGACTGTCCTAACAGCTCCCCAGGGAGCTGTGACGGCCTGGAAGGATGTGTTCCAAATGTGACCTTCCCAATGGTGCTGACGCTTGGCAGTTCTATTTAAACTGTCCACTGGCAGAAGTGAAAATTCCAGAGCGCGGTGGAAGGAGTCCTTCCACGCTGGTTGGCATTTTCCTTCTCTGTGCTCTTCTGTCTCAGGACGCCTTCTGCAAACCGTATGTCTTCTACACGCAACAGACGCCAGGCGCCTTCCTAACGCTCCCTTCTCTCGTCATTCCTTCACGGAAGCATCCATTCTTCCTCTGCTCCTTCATTCTCTCATCCGGTCTGCTGCAGTGTAGTGTGTAATAGCAAAGAGCTCCCACTCGTCTTGGTCAGTGTTGGATATTACCATCTAGCCATCATCTTGTTCAAACACTGAATATTTCTTTCTCCTCCACCTCTCCTGACTGCTCTTCCCATCTGTAGGTATCTACCATAATAATTCACTGTCTCTGCTTACACATAGAACCATAACCCAGGACCTTTTATGTCTGGTGTCTCTATACACTAGGATGACTGCAGGAATCACCTTATGATTGCGCACAGCTGTGCTTCATCCATGATTCAGCTTTTTTAAAGTTATTTTTTTTCCGCCAGAAACCAGTGGCTCGTGCCTATAATCCTAACAACTGAGGAGGCTGAGATCTGAGATCAAGATTTGAAGTAAGCCCAGGGAAGACAAATCTATGGAATTGTTATCTCCAGTTTAATAGTCAAAAGCCAGAAGTAGAGGCGTGGCTCAAGTGGTTGGGTGCTAGCTACGAGTGATGAGAAAGCCAAGCTAGATTGTGAGGCAGCTCCGAGTTCATGGCCTAATCCTGGCAGAAAAATTAATATTTTTTTCTTTGGAGACAGCAGTAGGCTCACATACAGTTGTAAGAAAGAATGTACAGAGCTCCTGTGGACCTTCACAGGTTTTTTCCAGTAGTAGGAGAGCTGTCTTAGAGGCTCACAGTGAAGACGCAGACGATGACCCTGTCAAATTCAGAACCTTTCCACCAGCATGAGGCCTGGGGGTGGCCTGACCATGCTAGTCCGTCCCATCTTCCCTTCCAAGACACCCACCCCTCACTCCTGAAGCCACGAATCTGATCCATTTCTCTAATTTCATCTTTTCAAGACTGCTATGGCTATAATCATGTGGTGTGTGACCTTCTGGCCTGGCCTTTCCCCAGGAGAATAATGCTCAAGGAGTTCATCCAGGTTGCTCAGTTTGACACTACTTTCACTTTGGATCCATTTTTTTTAAATTAAGCAAACAGTTATAAATCTCTCTCTCTCTCTCTCTCTCTCTCTGTATGTGTAGGAATGGGGGGGGAGATGGAGAGTAAGAGAGCTAGAGACAGTGTCAGAGCTGTGGTTTTCTGATTTGATCGTAAGATACCCTCCTCTCTGGAGACTGGCTGGGACTTCCGGCCTTCCCCTGATGGGGCACTCGGGACTAACGTGTGTGTTCTAGAGTTTTCTGCATGCTGGTAGAGAGTCTGCTGTCTGAGCGTCTGACCTGGGGCTAGGTGACCTCTCCCAGGGGAGCTGCAGAAACTGGCAGGCTCTGTCTGACCTGTGCTGGGTCTGTTCCTGCCAAGGCAGCTATCCTCTAGGAAAGCCCTGAAAACAGACAGGTAGATGTGGGTGTTGGTCGAGGGAGACACAGGGGAGGCAGCTCCACCACACACCAAAGAGCAGAGGCAGGTGAATGACTTGCAGATCTCAGGGAGGCGGCGGCGGCTGGGAAAGAGCGAGCTCTGGGACACACACCCACCCGCGTGAAGGAGAGAGTGAGGGACCTATGGCCTGAGGACTTTACTGGTGTCCAGGTGTTACCCAAGCAGGTTTCTAGAAAGTTCCAACTGGGGGTTAACTTTGATGGCACCATGGGTGACTGAGACAGTATCACTGTAGCATATTGCTGCTGTTGGTGAGGGGCGAGAGGGCGGCAGGCCGAGTCAGGAGGACGTGTCCATCTGTCTTGTAGGACATGGTCATCAGGAGGCAGGGTGAACTGCCCATTTTGGGGGCGTCTGAGCCCTGCTTCTGGTGTTAGCAGTCTAAGAACTCCTGACAGTGGGCACCAGGCTTCGTTTCCAGTGCCTGGCTGGTATGGAAGTCGCATGGCTTTGTGTGTGTGTGTGAGAACCTGTCCACTGTCACGCAGAGTGGCTGAGGGCCGTGCTCTGCCCGTCCAGCCCTGGGCGCTGCCCCCAGCCTGTGTTTCAGCTGTCATGGAGGCTGCGCAGTGCTTGCTCACGGTGGGTCCCTGCGTTCCGGGGTGAGCACCCTCCCATGAGGCCTTTGTCACCTGCTCCTGCTCCTCAGGCCTTCCTGGTGCGGTCGGATGGATTCTAACTACTCAGGTTTTGGCAGTGCTTCCTCAGTCCTGGATACTAGTTTACAAACATATCCCTCCTAGTCTATAGCTTGCTTTCTAATCCTTTCCCTAAGTTTGGCTGAAATCTCATGTGTTATTAATTTAACTTATTATCATAAAGGTGATGTACAGAGGGGTTACCATTTCGTGAGTCAGGTGATGAGTACATGTCTTTTTGGGCCACGTCACCCCTTTCCTCACTCTCTCCCAGTTTTTCTCTCCTATCTCTACCCACAAGTTGCATAGTTCATTTTTAGCACAATGCTTCCTTCCTAAATTGTGCTCTGGTATCAATTCTAAGAAATCTTTAGTTCTTAAAATTTTACTATTTTTTTCTAAAAGCTTTATGGTCTCACATTTAAGTAACTATGGTCTCCTGAGTAGCTAGGATTACAGGCATGAGCCGCCAGCGCCCGGCTTGTTGTTTTATAAAGGACAATCAAAACGCTACCCTCCTGTGTCTATGTGTCTACCTCCCAGTTCCACTGCCCGATGCCATCTACTCCTGTGCTTGCTCCTTCCTTCCACGGAAGAACACAGGGAGGATAATCAACTGTCAAGCTGTGACTCTGCCCCACCCGGCCAGGGAGCAGGCGTGACTCTCATAGCAGGTAGACAACAGGTGCATTACAGCCTCTGCCACCGGTTCCATGTCTCCATCCACTGTTGTTTGTGACTTACCTTCTTTGCTTTTTTTGGTTTGACTGGAAGTTCCTTTTCTCTGTTCACAGCAAGTTTTAAGTTTTTGAGTTCTTGTCTCATCAGCTCATCAACCTGGTCACAAATACAAAACAACACTTTTAGGTACCTTTGCATGCCTCTCCTCCTCTCCTCTCCTTCCTTTTTAACCTCTTTCCCTCCCTTCCTCCCTTCCCCTTCCTTCCTCTCTCCCTTCTCCTTCTTCCCTCCCCCCACTTCCCCCCAATTCCCCTCCCTCCCTCCTCTCCCTTCCCCTTCCACCCTTTCTCCCTTCCGCTTCCTCCCTCTCTCCCTTCCCTCTCTTCTCTCTCTCCCTTTCTCCCTCTCTCCCTCTCTCTTGGACTCTCTCCCCCCTCCCCCTGCTTCTCTCTTTCTTTTTCATTCACTGGTTCTGGAGCTTGAACTCAGTGTTTGGGCACTATCCCTGAGCTTCTTTTGCTCAAGGTTAGTGCTCTACCACTTGAGCTACAATGCCACTTCTGGCTTTTTCTGAGTAGCTAATTGGAGATAAGAGTCTCAAGAACTTTCCTGCCCCAGCTAGCTTCAAACCGTGATCCTCCGGTCTCAGCCTTTGCAGGAGGATTATAGATGTCAGCCATCCACAATGGGCTCTTTTATATGAGTGTGTGGAAGGTAAACATTGGGTAGGCACAAACATTGGCACAAATGCTTGTTTTACTCCTATAGACAAAAGTAACTTTACCTGAAGCCTTATTTCTGTCTCTAGTTCTTTCCGCTTCTCCTGTTTGATCATTTCTGGATCATAGCTCTGAACAAAATTCCAAGATTCATCTTTATTCATCCATGTGTCTGTATCCCAGAAGGACCAAGAAAAAGAAAAGGGAAAAAGAACTTCCACAGTCAGGCTAAGCAAAGTGGTTGCTGTCACGTTGACAGAAGTCAGCCTTTATCCGTGGAAACTGAGAGAGGGCTGCAATGGAGTGGGTGCTTGCAGCATTACTGTGCGCGACCCTTTCCCTGGCAGAGGCGCTCAGTCCACCACAGCCAACCTTACCCATGGCATGAACGAGTTTTCAAGCAAAGCAGTTTTATGATTTACAGGAAGCCACTAGGCTTCTTTCCTTTTCTTTTCTTTTTGCTAGACAGAATTGCCACAAGCAAAGAAGAAAGCATTCAGTCGTGAAAGGAGTTCAAAGTACTTAAAAGAAACTGTGTCATGACTATTTGGGAACAAGCAGTTACAGGAAGCCATTCTCACGCCGGAGCTGTGGCTCGCTGTACAGTCCAGCATGGCTGGGCAGCTCGGGCTGCCTTCCCATCGCGGTTTCAATGGACGGAGCTGGGCGCAGGAACTCCGCTTTCTCATGACACAGGCGTACAGGGCACTTCTCAATCCCTTCAGGAATTTCATGGGCATTTGTGGCTGCAGGGAGCTGCCCACCACCCTCTGAGGGCAACTAATGCCCCTGGCCCTGAGAGCCAGGAGGAGCTTTTATCCTAAGAATGTGAAAAGCAGGCTGGGGCCCTTTCACAGGAGGGGGGAGGGGGAGGGGGGAAAGAGGCCGGGAAGGGGTTAATCTCAGTGATTAAGATGCTAATGTTTCATTTGTAAAGGAAAACCTTTGATTTTTAAGTAAAGGATTGTGGGTGTGAAGCTATTCATTTCTTGAGTTTCTAAGGAATGAGTGGTTGATACATTCACTGCCAGGGCGGTCAGCCAGGGAAATGACCCTGGGCGGCTTCCATTAGGGGACCCCATCTGCTGCCTTAGCCTTAGATCCTATTTCTAGAGCTTTCTTATGGGGTTCAGCAAGTCCTAAATCCGGCCTCCCATCAAAACATCAAACTCCCCCCCCCCAAGGTTTGCCAAAACAATACACCTATGCTGGTTTTTTTTTTTTTTTTTTTGGTCTGGGCTTGAACTCTGGGCTTGGGCGCTGTCCCTGCGCTCTTCAGCTCAAGGCGAGTGCTCTACCACTTGAGCCACAGCGCCACTTTTGGTTTTCTAGTGGTTTATTGGAGATAAGAGTTTCACGGACTTTCCTGCCCGGGCTGGCTATAAACCGCGATCCTCAGAACTTAGCCTCCTGAGTAGTTAGGATTACAGGCATGAGCTGCCAGCGCCCGGCTGGCTTGTAGCTGTTGTTTTATAAAGGACAATCAAAACGCTACCCTACTGTGTCTACCTCCCAGTTCCATGCCCCATGCCATCTACTCCTGTGCTTGCTCCTTCCTTCCACGGAAGAACACAGGGAGGATAATCAACTTCAAGCTGTGACTCTGCCCCACCCGGCCAGGGAGCAGGCGTGACTCACAGAGCAGGTAGACAAATGGGTGCTTTGCCCTTTGGGGTCCCAGACCCCACTGCAGAAGGTGGCAGTTCCCATCTCCACGGTGTGACTCCCCTGTGGTCTCAGGTGAGGGGACACTGTCTCCCCACAGTGGTCCCCTGGGCAGGCCTTCCTGACACCAAGCCCCAGGGCGGCCGGAAGGGTGCAGCTTGGCCGCAGGGGTCTCTGTCCTGCGGTCTTCTCTCATGGCTGCTCAAAATGCTCCAGTGTTCCCTCTTTCTCTTTTTGTGTCAGGCAGGCTTGAACTCAGGGCCTTGTGCTCTTGCTTGGCTTTTTCACGCAAGGCCGACCCTCTTCCACTTGAGCCACAGCTCTACTTCCAGCTTTTTGTTGGTTATTTGGAGATAAAGAGCCTCATGGACTTTCCTGCCTGGGCTGGCTTTGAACTTTGATCCTCAGATCTCAGCCTCCTGAGTAGCTAGGATTACAGGCCTGAACCACTGGGCACCTGGCCTGTGATTCTTTCCTATGTATCAGCTTCAGAATGGAGCTCCTGACATCCTGGTCTTTTACTCTCTGCCCTTCCTATGGCCTCATCTTCTGAGCACAGTTGTAGCAGAAGGGAAGGGAGCCGGGCCTTCCAAATTCTGAGTGTGCATGTGCAGGTGTGCAGGACACCTGAGTGCCCGGGTCCTCCCCGCACAGGGTGTCCTAGAGAGTACAGGCATCGCCAGGGGGTCCTAGGACCGCCAGAGAGCAGCCTGTGGCAGCTGAGGCCAGGCCTGGACAACGGCGGGCCAACACTGACAGTGGGGGTGGGATGGAGGGTTCAGCGAAGGGAGGCGGCCATATGGTTCAGGCAGAAAGGAGTTTGCTGTGGGGAGAGCATACTGCCGGCTTGCACAAGATGGAGGGTGCAGGGAGAGCGGGGGGGGGGCGGGGGCACAAAAGAGGTTAAAAGGGGTGGAACTAGGATGGACACTGGTATATAGGGAGAGGGTGGGGAGGAGATGTGGCCCTAGGAAGACCGGGGAGTCTGGGGGACCTCTCCCCCCCTGCCTGGGATAGGGGGTGCTGGGAGGGACTTCTAGGGAGGGGGCCATGTGTGCACCAAGGGAGAACAATGGGGAAGGGGCCATTTTTTTCTGGGGCGGATCTAACAGGGAGGCTTAGGTGGGAGGAACAGGAGGATTGCAGTTCAAAGGCAGTCCGGGCAGAAAAATCCCCCTGACTCTATCTCCCAACTAACCAGCCCAAGCTGTCCTTCATGGGACACTGGGCCCACTGGTATTTTATGAGGCTTCCATCATATCTGTGAGGGCTTGAGCAAATGGATCTCTCTCCCTCTCTCTCTCTCTCTCTCTGTCTCTGTCTCTCTCTCTCCCTCTGTCTCTGTCTCTGTCTCTCTCTCTCCCTCTGTCTCTGTCTCTCTCTCTCTGTCTCTGTCTCTCTCTCTCTCTCTCTCTCTCTCTCTCTCTCTCTCTCTCTCTCTCTCTCTCCCCCTCTCCAGGCTGGTTGCCCTGGCTTAAACTCTGTGCCTGCTTCTCTGTGTGGTTGACACAGGGTGGGACAGTGAAAAACCTAAGCGATTCCATTTTACTTAAGACCCCATCTCAGTTCTGCGACTTAACTCGTGGCCCACTTTAGCCTCAATGCTAGGAATTTGATAGAAAGCCATGCACAATTCTTGGAGCCATCGATGGCGTTTGCTTAAGGCAGGTGTTAGCCTCCAAGTGGTGTTGCCCCCCAGCGACCTAGGGCTAAGAGTTTCGGTTCCAAGGAAAACCATATAATTTTCTGACCAACTGGTTCTTCAGAGCCCAGGGCGAGACATGCCATGCATTCTGTTGGTCCAGGTGTGACTCATAACTGTTTTTTGGTCAAGCTATGGACCAAGGATATTTTTCTGTAAAGGTCAACCAATCATATTTTCCCAGCTTAGCTTGCTTTAAATGTTAACCAATCATGTAATTTCTTATGTAAAAGTTCCTTAAAGTTGTTTGTTCAATACTATAAAAACTGTGCTGATTCTATGCTCGGGGCCTCTTAGCGTCACTGATTGCTGAGTGTGCAGAGGACCAAGCTCGAGCTTGCAATAAACGACTCTCTGCTGTTTGCATTGATCGTGGTCTCTGGTGGTCTATGAGGGGGCATCCGAAAACGGGATACTTCAACAGGTACAAGCTTCCCAAGGTAAAGCAACTTCTCTCCATAGGGCCTGGAAATGAATGCCCACCTAGGAAAGGTTTCCTGTTTTTGTTATCAATGTTTGTGTAAGCATGGAGATCCTGTTAAATTCTGCTTGGTGTTGGCTTAATCTTAAATTCTTGACCACATGGTGGATAATAGAGAATTGGACTTAACAGGCACCATCTTGGCAACATGGTAAATTTCTAAAAACTCTTGGAGGTGGAGTGCAACCCCCTCCCTGGTAGTGGGCCAGGCTGGGCAGAAAAATCCCCGATTCTATCTCCCAACTAACCAGCAAAGGGCCAGGCTGGGAGCATATCTCAAGAGACTCAGTTCTAATTAACCAGCCAAATGCTGGAGGTGGCACTGACTCAAAGGGTAGAGTGCCAGCCTCTAGCAGAAGTGCTCAGGGACAGTTTCCCAGGCCTTGAGTTCAAACCCTGTGAATGCCAACTGGGACAAGCCATTCCAGCAAGGAGCACCAAGCCCCCCGGGACGAGGCGGTCCTGACCACGAGGAACTGTGGAGAGGGGTAAGAGGAGGTGAGTCCTATCCTAAATGGGGTCATTTTACAGAAACTGATGAGAGCCTGGAGATCAAGAGAAAGTTAATAAGCTTGCCCATCTAATGGCCATACCTGTCTACCCTCTGATTGGATAGGAACTTACATTCTTGCCTTTGTTACCTACTATTTGCACTTAACTCTTAGACTCAGGACAGTTAGCCTTGGCAGCTTCCCGGGTCTTGCATACATAGTCTGTAATCTAGACATCTGCCAAGCCCTCCTGTAAGGCCCCTAACCACTCCAATCTAGCTCTAATCTCTGACTGGTTATTCCCAACAGTCCCCTGTGCTCTCCCCTACCCAGTGGCCCCCAACCTTAGATATCCCCCCTTCCTGCCCCTAGTCATGTGGAAATTCCTCCTTCCCTGTAATGGGCCACCACTGGGTTTCTGCTCCAAATGGAACTTTTCTGGCTTGTGTCCAGGTGTGTGTTAAGGAGCCTCGGTCAGGTTCCTTGGTCCCGCCGCCGCCTTGTCAGCCTCTGACTGATCTCACCTTTTCAGAAGGTTCTCTTTAACAGGATAGTAGTCCTCACTCAGGACACCACCTGGGGTCAAGTCAGGGCCATCCTATTACGACAGGCAGCCGGAGGCTTCGCTTACACTGCCCTGCTCTGCCCCGTGCAGACCTGGATCCTAAAGACCCCAGCCCCAGTGACTCCTCGACCCCCACAAGCCAGCAGGAAGCGTCCAGAAGAGACCACAATGCCTGTAAGCTCTGGTACCTTTAACTATTTCTGCTACCTCCTCCCCAGGCTCCTGTGATCTCAGATAAAGCTGGAAAAGTCTTGCTTCCCTGTCCAAGATAACAGGGATTCAGGTACCATGCAGTCGGTCTCCAACACAGAGAAGGCAATCCCAGGTCTTTGTTAGCCCCTTCTGGAGATCAACCACTCCCTGGCTTATGTCTCTCTTGGGTCTGTTAGCAGCAATGTTTTGCCTTTTACTAATTGTGCCTTCCATTTTAGGTAACTAAAATGAGACCTTTACCCAGCTGTCAAGCAAATACTTCTTGGATGGTACCAGTCGAATGACAAATCAGGGACCCATCACTACTTTGTCCCTTTACAGCAGGAAGTAGCTCCATAAGCAATGACCGCCGTCCATGCCCCGGATGACAACAAATTGGGGAATGTTAGCATTCCCTTCACCCCAGGTCCTTAGCCCCTCCCCACCTCACTTCCTGCCCCCAGCTGCACCAGCTGCACGCCCTCCACCCAAACCTGAACTCCACCCTGCCCTTCACAAAGAACTTTCCCGGGGCTCTGGCCAGTTTCATCTCCAGCCCTGCTGTTGCAAGGATGCCCCTAGATGGGGACAGGGGCCATTTTGTTCCCTCTCCCATGGGGGAGAGGGCCACGTCAGCCCCTCTGATACAGCTTCTTATAGACCTCCTTCTGAGCGTGACTGTGTCGGTGTGGTCTTCTGGGATGGCCGCTTTCAGTTCTTGTTCCCCATCCAAGCCACGTCCCACCGGAGTGCCCATGCACCCATCGCTACTCCCCGGCCATCTTGTTGTCCTCCTGACTCCCATGACCGCCCAGTTTCACGCCCTCTCCCCACTGTCACTGCCACAGCGCACCATCCCTGCATCGCGCCTGCGGAGCCCAGCTGGCACTGCGCTTGGGAGGAGGCTGCTGAGTGATTCCACACGTGCGGGAGGCTGCCAGCGAGTGCCCTGCACCACTGTGCAGCAGCAGGCTGGTGCAGCTCAGAGCTGCGGGCCTCCCATAGGGCCCCCCTCCCCGATGGGGAGGGCCCTGGCTCCTTTCCTGGCTCTTGTGAGGAATGAATAAAGTCGGCCTCTCAGGCGCTTAGTAAATGTTAGCTGATCCCTCTTTGTGCCAAGGACAGCAGGTGTCAGCCCCACTGAGGTCACAGTAGCCTCTGGGCTTTAATTCAGCATCCCAGGCAGCATGAGACCCTTCTTCATGTACTGTGAAATTCATGTATAGACTATGGTCTGCTCATTAACAGTGTCAGAGGGGTGTGTGATATGTGTGTGTGCGTGCGTGTGCTGTTACTGAGGCTGGAACTCAGGGCAGATTAGACCAGAGTTGGGAAAGAGGTCCTGATGGACCCCTGTTTGGACATTTTCTCCTGCTTGCCATGATTGCATTTTACAAGAATTTCCACAAGAGCACTAGGAGCAGGTTGATGATATTGGCAGATCATTTGGTGCTGGAATCTATCCCAAGAGTGGGGCAGTGCTAAAGGAAATGAATAAAAGCTCTAGCAAATTGTAATGGAAATATCTGGAAAATCGGCTCATAGACTCACAGATCTGGCTCGATTATGCCTATACAAATGATGTTGAACAACTGACGTGAGGATTGTGTGTCAGAACCCAGGCAAACAACTTAGTCTAACAAGATTAAGACATTTTCTATACATATGGTATTGATTTTCTTAATGTAAATAATCTAGAAAATGCCTTTCCTCTTGCTGCTAAGCAAGAGAATGGGGAACTGAGGTCTTTGGGATTCAGAAAATGAGATGGGCATTCTGAACAAGTTCTCCTCCTGGGTGTGCCCCCAAGTCTCTGGGAGAAGCAGAGGAGGACAGAAAGTCATGGCTGGAATTGTACCTTGCAGCCTGCGGTGACCCGCACTGAGGTGTGGGTCGGGGGATCACGGGACAGGGACACGGCGACGCCTTGGCTACCATGGATATTCTCTCGAACTGACCTTTGTATAAGTTATTTCCTTCCTCCATGGAATGAAGGAAAACACTCGGTGACATTTTCCACTCTTCTTCTTCTTCCTGTTCAGAGCAGAATAATATTTTTGTTAAACGCAGGCGTAGTTTATCTGTCAAGACTGGACAGCAAAAGCGCACACACTGCAGCTGCCAGGACTTTCGTTGTTTTTGGGTAGCTCTGGGGATGAAGACTTGCCAGGCAAGCATTCGACGATTTTTTGTTGCACGCCAGGCTCTTTAGAGGGGCTGCTTTGCAGACAGGGTAGTTTCAGATTATGAGTTGCGGGGATTACAGATACGTGCCACCAGGCTCAGTCCTAGAACTGCAGGACATAAAGGCCCCATACCATACCATCCACCAGGGCAGCTACCTGCTAGACGTCTGAGTCGAGACAGCCCTGGACACCTCTCTACTGCGGCTCCCCCCCAATACACAGACCCCAGTTTGGTCTAATGTCTTGTTTTTTTTAAAATACGTTTTTTTATTGTTAAAAAAACTGTACAGAGGGGCTACAGTTACATGAGAAAGGTGATGACTACATTTCCTATCAAGCATTGTTACCTCCTCTTTTGTTTTTCCCCTACCATCCCTTCCCTCCCACCTCCACAACTACACTCCTCTCCCACTTAAATTGTAAAGTTTGTTTTTCAACATAGTGTCTTGTATATCTCATTGTTTCAGTGGGTCAACCTGTATCCCGATTTAAACATTTTGTTTTTTCCCTTCCCCTCCCCAAGCTAGAGAAGTGTATATACAAGATGCAGGACACCAACATCAAATACAGTGAAAACAGGGGTTATACCGTGGGGGAGGAACATACAAAAAAACAAAAAAAAATCACATGGTACATTATAAATACGTTAGGAACAATAGCAAGAAAGTAAAAACCAATTGTGTCCCTATCTTGGGGTTCATTTTGCTTAACATCCTCTTATCTGGTCATATGTACATAGCTTTTGATCTTTTCTGCTTGTCCCAGACATATACTAGTTGTTGCAAATAAGGGAAACCATGGGACCTATGTTTCTTTGGGCCTGGCTTACTTCACTTAATATTTTTTCCAAGACTTTCCATTTCCTAACATCTATCTATCTATATCTATCTATCTATCTATCTATCTATCTATCTATCTATCTATCTATCTATCTATCTATCTATCTATATCACATTTTCTTGACCCATTCATCTACTGAGGGGCATCTGGGTTGGTTCCATATCTGAGCTATGGTAAATAATTTGGCCCAATGTTTTGATGATTGTCTCCTGCCTTGCTGAAAGCTGCTTCCAGCCTGAGCCCCAACTGTGTCCTCTACCGCCCTCCATACTCTGGCTGTGCGCTGCTCCTCAGTCGGTGCTCAGCTGTGATCAGAGGCGTCCCGGGCTTCACAACGACCTGTGCTGCTCCTTCCTCTTGCTCATCTGTGCCCTGGCTGGGCCTGGAAGCCAGCCTTAAGGCCGCAGCCTATTGCTGGGAGCCTGGCGTTCTTCCTGGAGCAGCATGCAGAGCCTCAGTGTGGAGAGCCCGACCACCTCCTTTGTGGCTCCTGCTGCTGGCTCTGTGCGCGGAGACAGGAGACTGAAGTCCCCCTGACACCTGCACAGTGGACAGCTCTGCTGCAAGCTCCAGAAACACACCAAGGGGCTGTGCGAGGCTGGGCCCCGTCTACTGCTAACCACAGCGGCCTTGTGAACGGATACGCTCCAGGCAATCAAGTTCACATCCTATCAATGGTGTCCGCAGCCCAAGGTCAGGGTGATGGTCATACTTAAGAAGGTCAGAAGAACTAGTGTTCACTCTGCTCCCCGAGGACCCTCCAGAGCCCTGCACCCCCCGGCAGAGCACCGGACAGCACGGGAATGCGAGCAGCTCTCCGCTGGGCTGATGCAGAGTTCCTGGGCCCTGGGCATCTGACAAGTCTCCCCTGGGCTCTGGGGTGCAGTGGCCCCGTCCCCTTGGGCTGCACACCCTAGGGTGTGTGCAGTGTCTGTCGCGAGTCTCTCTATTTCCTTGCTCCCCACAGCCAAGCAGCCATCAAAGGCACCTGCTTTACCTTCCACACTGTCTGGGATCTTTCCTCAGCCTCCCTTCCTGGCCCCTTGGCTCAGGCCCTTGCTGCCGGACTGTCCGATTCAGGGCAGTCAGGCTGTGCTATCTAGCGCTTTCTGATGAGTTTGGATTCTCTGTCTACAGCAGGGGCTTAGCCTTAGCTCTGACCTCAGGATGTACTTTCCGGAAGCTGCACAAAGATGCCTGACTGGGCGCTCCTCCCTCTCGAGGCTCCTTCCCCACACGTCAGAGTCCAGGCCCCGAGGAGGCCCAGGCTGTGGCTCCTGGCTGTGGCCCCCGGGTCTGTGCAGGCTTCGCCCGTGTCAGCATAGCATTCTTACAGCTCAGCTTTTCCATGGTGTATGAGCTTCCTGTGTGTTAATACCGTCCCTTCACAAAGACGAATCTATCCCCTTACTCATCCATGGTCAAACATGAACATCTGTATTCCTCTTTTGCTCAATGAATGTGTGCTAGGTGCCTCTCTCCCCCAAGCAGAGGTGCCAGAGCTGAGGGCATCCCTGCTCTCCACACCCCGCGGCCTGGTGGGAACTGGAGGGTGATCACAGGAGAGCCCTGAGGGCTGGGCTGAGTCTCAGCCAGGGCCCGGGAGGCCGGCAGCAAGGCTCTGCAGGAGCGCTCAGCTGTGTGAGTCCAGGTCTTCTGGCCTTCCAGGCACAGGGGGCTGTGCGGGAAGGAGTGAGAGGCGGGGAAGGGCAGCAGTGGTGAGAGAGGCTAAGGTAGCTGCTTGGTGTATGGGACAGGGAGCGACGCACCTCATACACATCCATGTAGATGAGGCGCAGTGGGCAGAGTCTGTGAGACTCTTATCTCCAATAAACCATTCAGAAAAAGCCAGACGTGATGCTGTGGCTCAAGTGGTCCAGCATCAGCCTCAAACACAAAGAGGCTCAGGGACAGCACCCACACCCTGACTTCAAGCCCCAGGACTGCAGATAACAACAACAACAACAACAAACCACCAAAAGACAAATAACATGCTGGTTCAAAGAGTTGTATGTTCTCAGTTCTGTTCCCAGCTTTGGCACCAGGGAACCAATCTTTGGTCAATAGATCGCCATTAAGTATGAGGGTCATTCCCCACCATGTCACACCATTTCCTGGCACCTCTCACTGCTCATGTTTGCATTCTGCTCTTTGGACACAACTGTCAGCTGAAGAGGCTCATCTGGGAGCTTCTAGGTCATTCCAGCAGGTATACCACCTGCTGAGAAGCCTTGTACCACCCCTGTCTTAGCTTTAGGCTGGACGGATGGCATCCTGGGCAAGCCCCCGGCCCTCCAGGGCCTGGGGCCCACCGTCATAGCAAGCTGATGCTCGCTGACACAAACTCACACTTGACTCTAGTGTTTTCTGCAGCGAGCCGGGCTCTGGGGAGCTGCAGGCCTGCTCGGGCCTCTCCATGGCTCCCTGAGTCAAACGCCCCGGCCTGATCATCGTCTGGGTGTTGCTGTTCTACACAGAACTTGCACAGCGTCCTGGCTGCATCACAGACTGGCACGTAAGGGGTTCGGTGGTATAACTTCATGTCTAGAGTTAATGTCCAGGGGGTGGAACATGGCAAGTCCAGTTTGAGGACCAGTGAATCCTGACCCTGTGGAGTAAGCAGTAAAGGCTGGACGCTCCCACAGCATGCCGCAGCCTTTCCTGTGGCAACAACGTGCTCAGCGGTCCCACCGGATGCGGGAACTGGAGGAGAACCCGCCAGGGCAAGCCCCTGCGTTTCCTCCCAAGTGCAGCTCACACTGGGATGAAGCATGTACAATTGCCTGGATGGATCCCTTCCTTTAGTTCTGTTGTACAGATCCCGTGTGTAGACAGGGCTGGCTCTCTGCTTCATGGGTGGAGCCTGGGGCAGGATCCTCAGAGTGGGGAAGGGCTCTTCCCCTATGACCTCACCACCCCCGGAGGGGTGGGGTTAGGTTTCTGACATGTTGGGGGGGGGATGCAAACATTCAGCCCATAGCACCCCACGTCAGTTACACTGCTCCTGATGGCCTTTATGCTCCTGGGCGCCGGTCGGCATTCCCGTCTCCATCTCGTCTTCTCCACTGCGGTCCAGACTTCCTGGCTGAGCAGATAATGAAGGAGGGATACAGGCAGGTTCTCCGGTGCCGACTCCCCCTCACAGCCCAGGCCCCTGGGGCTTCTGTCTTCCCTGACTCCGCCACACGGCCCAGCAGCACCTGCCTTTCTTGGCACATGGAGACATTTCCATGCCTCCCATCCTCCCGGCCTGGCCGCTCTGGCACATCTCACATATTCATTCGGTGGCGTGGGATGATGTGGCCGGCCGGCTCTCAGTGCCGAGGCGCCCAACATGGGCCATGGGGATCCCTTCAGGATGTCGGGGTGGCCAGGGGTTCTGAGACCTGCTCTCAGAACAGAGAGGCTGGCAGCCTCTTGACTATTTTTTCAGCTTGCATTTATAAAATGGGTTTATTGAAAGAGCCATTGTTAGTATGAATGTTCTTCTGCAGCTCGGGTATGTGCTGTACACCGGGTGTCTTGTCATTTCCTTTTCTGAGCCAGTGTGGAGTATGGAGTGATGCAGGGTGGGATGCTGAGGACGGATCCACAGCCCGCCCCTCCCCAAACGCTGGCCAATGCCAGTGTAAGGACAGGCAGGAAGCAGAGGTTCCCCTCCTCTTCTTGCCCCTCCCTCCCCTCCCCTCCCTTCCCATCCTGCCTGCCCTTCCCTTCTTTCTCTCTCCCTCCCTTCCTAGGTTTGAACTCAGTGTCTTACACTTGCCAGGCAGGCACTCCACCACTTGAGAAACTGCCAGTCCTTTCTGTGTTGGCTGTTTTGAGATGGGTCTCGCTTCTTGTCCGCACCAGCCTGGGCTCTGGTCCTTCCATTTGTGCTTCTCTGCTTTGCTGGGGTGGTAGGTGTGTACTACCCTGCCCAGTCATTGGTCTAGATGGTGTCTTGGGAAGATTTTGTCCAGGCTGTCCTCAGACCATGGCCCCTGGTTTCTGCCCCCATGTAGTTAG